AATCCAAGAGTCGGGGAGGAAAACCCACTGGGGAATAGTGGGGAATGAGGATGCTTTACAATCCACAGCATATCCTTATTCCCCTTTGTACAAAAGCCAGCAGGGACAGGGAACAGCACGTGAATCTGCCTGGGTGCCCTGATGGGCCACATTGGAAAATTCACCCACGAGGCCACTCCAGCGTGGGAGTGACAGCAGGACCCTCCCACCAAACACAATGTGGAGCAGCAGCTCTGGCAGGGCTGTGTTGGGGGCAGCAGGACTCAGGTTCAACAGCACTGCAACCACCCAGCTCTGCTCAGCTAATTCCTGTCCTTGGATTCATCAGAAACTGTTGGAAGCTCTTTCCAGAAGCCTCCAGGCACAGCCACACACAGCAAGGGGCTTTTCCTTCCTTCCAGCTGCTGCTGTCAGCCTCAACAAGGTTTGCCTTCTGCCTTGCACCCTGCACCTCATGCCCTGGCAGTGAGACCCCATTCAGTGCCCCCCAGGCACCACCCAAGGGGGTAAGACCCCCCCTCCAAGGGAGCCTTGCCCAGCCAGGCCACGCTGTTCAGAATCCTTCTGATAAACGCCCCCGTTTCCTTACAAAACACGCCTGCTCATTCCAGGCCAACCCTCCAATGCACAGCAGGTGCTGAATACCACCACCCACACGCCTCTAATTTCAGGTGACCTGCTTCATAGCTAGAAAATGTCAAGACAAATCAGAGACGCTCCTGCCTCCGAGATCCCTCTCGTTACATAAGGCAGCCCACCCGATCCGCTCTGCTCCCGCCCAGCACCGCACACGCACAGCGGGTCCACAACCAGCAGGACCTTCAGCTCCTTGCACGCCACACCAATCAGAAGTGCAAGGGCTATAAAAGCAGCAAGGTAGAGGGGACCCAGCTCCCAGGGGGGGTGAAGAGGAGTGAGGAGCAGCAGCAGCAAAGAGGAGCAGGGGAGGGACACGCTTACGTAATACTTGTCGTCGTCCTCGTTGTAGGCCAGTTTCACAACGCCGTAGGAACCCTAAAAATAAACACCAATGGCACAGTCAGTTCAGCAGCTTCACCTTGGCTCCTTGCTGCTCAAGGCTGGTAAAACAAAGCTTTACACAGGGTAAAAAACAACTCTGAGGCCCCAGGCCACGCTGACCCCTGAGCAAAGCCTGCAGGTGACGTGACCCCGCAGCGAGGTTGTACATTTTGGCAGCTCTGTTGGGCACTGCAGGATTATCTCCTGTTAGCCCATCACCCCCTGCCCTGAGCCAAAGCCACTGTCTGTCTGAACTCGAACATGGGTGGGGAGCATAATTTTCAAGTAGGTATTTTTTTGTGCAAATTTGGAAATTCTGCACGAACACCTTTCCTGTACTGCTGCACAGAACCACCTTCAGCACAGAACCTCTGCATCCCTTGACAGCAAATGGACTTCAGTGATGACCACCCTGCCTGCCTGCCTTCCACCAACCACACGTTGCCCAGGCAGATGCAGACCTGGACTGCTGCTGCATCCCCAGCTCCAGTGATAGCCTGAAGCCAAACTCCATCCAAAATCACTGTTTTTTGCAGTTCTGTGTCAACACTAAACATTTTATGCAAGCGAGACATGACACCATGGCTAGCTACCATCCCTGACAGATGCCTGTTGAATAAATGAGTGAAATGAACACCAGAGCTTTCAAAACATTTCTCTTGACTTCACTAAAAGCTGGAACAAGGTCCTGGTCTCAGAGGAGGCCAGAAAGCCATCTGGCTGGTCCAGGAGCACACACTGCAGGGCCAGCAGACCCTCTGCCACCCTCTCTGTGATCCTCAGGGAAGGAGGATGCAAGTGCAAATCCACCTGAGAGAAGGTCTCATACTCTCCTTTGTACTTAAGCCAATGACAAAGGCCCTAAGTGTGTCTGAAGCTGAGTTTGGGATGGCATTTGTACCAGCAGCAGTGGTATCTCCAGCCTTACTTGCTGCCTGACAGCACAGCCCACGGCACGGATGGAAAGGGTTCCTCCTCCCACTGCCTCTCGTTTTGGAGAGGAGTTTGGGCTGATGAAACTGTTGGTGAAGGTCTCTGCAGCTCGGGGTGCAGTCCCTTCTGACTGCAATGTTCCAACTGCAAAGGCAGGCACAGCTTCCAGGCAGCACCACCACTCCTGGACCCATCTGCAACGGTGGCAGACGTCCAAATGTGCAGGTGTCTGAGCTGCTCACCAGCCCAGACCTCGAAATAACTTTGGAGCAATCTCTTCTGCATCATTCCGCAGCTTTTAAACATGGACTAGTATTAAAGGAGCATTTCATCGACGTGCAAACTTTACCTAGTCCTGATGGGGACTAAACACCTGCCCTGATCTTATTTTTGTTATTTTTTTTTTTTTTTTAACTTTCCTTGTTGTGTTGTATTAATGCATCAAAGGCTCTTAGCGTTACATTTGGCAAGCAAACACCCTGGAAGGGAGCCAGCTTAACCACCTTCCGAGAGAGGAAAAATAAATTTAGATTTCAGAGGAAGTAGCTCCACTTTGACCTTGAATAAAGCTTGCTCAAACTAATAGGGGAAAAAAAAAAAAAAAAAAAAAAAACAACAAACAACCCCCCCCAGAATAAACACAGGTTGCAAAGATTCTTGGTCAGTGAGGTCCCTTGGACTGGCACAGCCTTCCCACCTGTGTGTCCACATGCAGGCTGCCTGTGCCCAACACAAGCTCCAGTCCTTACCTTGCCTATTTCGCTCTGCAGCTTGTACTGGTTTAATTGCACACAGTCCTGCAGATCAAAAGGAGAACATAATTAGAGTATTGGTAGAGGAAATGACTGAGTTTGAATCGAGTTCAAGTAGAGGCAGAGTGCTAAATAATGAAAGACTTAATCTTACTTAAAAACTGGTGTATGTGACACTATAAGCACTGCGCTTTTTTAAATTTTTTTTTTTTTTTTTACAAAATAATCATGGGCTGAGTTCTGATTTAGGCTGTGCTGGTGTAAAACCACCCCAGTCTCCCAGCATGGCTCCAGGTTCAGCCCAGGGAGCCTGACAGCAGCAGGTTACATTCCTCTCTACTGCACTGTGTCAGTACCAAGCAGGAAAACCTCCCTGCCCAGCTCCCCAGGGCTCTCACACACCCCAACCCCAGGGTCACTGCACGAGCCTGTGCCCTTCCCAACATCAGCCTGGCAGGGACAGGCACCTTCTGGGGCTGTGACTGCGGGTGTGGCTGCACCCAAAGGAACCCTCAAGTGGGTGGTGGGCTCTCTTCACGGAGAGCACACGAAGCCAAGCTCCTCTGCCATGGAACACAAACAGGAGTGGATTCCCTTCAGCTGAGGGAATATTTGCTATAATAAATCACCCCTGAGCATGTCTGATCTCTGCTGGGGAGGGGTGGGAGATGCAGACCCCCAGCAAGCTGTGACAAGGGTGTCATGATGGGGTTCACCACAACATAAAAGCAGTGCCAGATGCCTGCAGTCCATTTGTAAGAACAGGGGTGTAGAACAGTGCCTGCTCCACGCTGTGTTCCCACTGACAGCAACACTCCTCTGCCTCTTGGGATGCAGCATGGATGTGGTAGATGATAATTTTGATTTTTCCCCCATCACCAACCAGAAAACACTCCTAACAAAAATGACCATCACAGTGAAGAATAAAGAAATGGGGCACTGATGACCTTTCAAGCCTGCAAGCAGTGGCTTGTCAGGAATACAAGGAATGATTAAATCCACCTTGTCGCCAGTGAAGGAAGTTTTTTCCTCCTGCCCTGGTTTCCCTCTGCCCAGCTTTGTATCCCTCCCCCTGTCCTGTGGAAACTGCAGCGCTGCAGATGGGGAAACGCTCACTGGAGAGGCTGGGGCAGGCAGGAAAAGTGACCACTCTTCCAGGAAAACTCCAACCACCTCACATCTCCTGCTCTTCAAACCAGCAAGCTTGCAATGACCAGATCCTGTTACCAGATCTCCTCCCCTGAGCAGGGATTACTTGCAGGAGTAAATGGAGCCTTCTACACGTAGCCATAGACTTTTTGGTCTGCACTCAATACCTTGTTTCAAGCCGAGGTGGCATTTCCAAACACCAAAAGCTGCTTCTTGTTGCCCACACACTGTCAAGGGAGCCACAGTGGCATCTTTTCCCTTCATCCTCAAGGACCAGAGCCCTTTGTGCTGGATACAAAGCCCCTCACAAAGCATTTAGTGCAACTGAGGAGGGACTGGGCGCTCTCCCTGTGTCCAAGGCACCAATTCCTTCGACTGTGGCCATCGCATTGCCACCACCCCTCTTACCCCTGGCCAGAAATTACCACTCTTATCCCACATCAGACTGATCACCTGAAGCACCTCTCTGGCGATTCACTGCTGCTAAAAGGAGCTTGTGAGCAACACCAGGCCACCCATTTTCAGGGGATGATTGTTTGAAAGGGGTGGGTAAATACCGGGAGGGGAGCACCCAGAGAGGGTGCCAGGGTCTGCAGCATAACCTCCCAGAGTTCACACTCTCTGTCACCACATCCCAACCTGGTCCACACCTCCATCCCTCTCCACTCAGGTAATTCCTGGTGAGAAGCACCATCACACTTCAGCTTCTGCCCTGCTTCCAGCACTTGAGCTGAACACAGCAAAATCAAACCACATTATAGGTGCTTCCTACCTAATTTTTTTTTTTTCCCCTGGCTGAAGGATCATAATTCACAGCTCAAGCAGCTCCTGCCACGTGTTGCTGCAGACTGGCTGGGCTGCTATTATGTTATTGGGTTCTCCTGCAGGAAGTGGGATAATTGTACAATTCCTTTATCAGAGAGGAACACCTATCTCTGGGCCAAGTGTTTCTTTAAGATAACGTTGTACAATTCTCCTGATTTCATCACGCCGATGTATTTGCAACTGCTGATAAATACAAACAGAGCAAGATGAGATGCTTTAATGAAAAGCTGACAGCAAATTAGACTCAGTCTATCCAAGTGTGCAATAATTGTTTTCTCTTAAAAAAACAAGATGCCCCGTTCGTTAACATGTCCAAGGTATTAGTCAAGAGGGGAAGGGGAGGAATTAATGCCACAACAAACAAAAATTGGTCAAAAATCATAAAGCACAGCTCAGTCCAGAGGTCAGGTCTAATTCCATAAATCCACTGTGGCCACCACTGGGTGACAGAAATGCTGAAAAATTGAGAATTGAGCCTTTGCTGTCCTGGGGGAGATGCAGGGATTGGAAGGAAGAACCAGCACTGGTTTCCAAAATAAGACATTTCTGAAAACAATCAGACTGCCTACACACGTACAGGTATAATGGAGAATTTTACCCACTAAAAGCAGCTAAATTCACCAATCTGAAAAAAATTACAATTTTCAGCAGTTCAGAAATACACATTAAAGAGAAGCATGGGAGGAAAAAAAAAAGGGAACTAAAAGCCAGTAATGAAGGAACGGTGGTTTCAACTCATCCTGCCTGGAAGGGGAAATGAAAGAGCTTCTAAAACCAGACAAAATGAAAATGAAGGCCAGAAAATGGGTATTAAGGGCAGCAATGAATACAAATTAGAAAGTTGTTCAGGGACACAGAAGGATGGACAGGAAGGCCAGACCTCATGGAGTATAAGAAAAATAAACAGATTTTTAAACAACATCCAAACCCAAATGCGAAACAGAAAGCCCAGCACTGCTGCAGGAGCACTGGCCATGGCTGGGCACAAAGCTCAGCACCCACCTGGCACCCCAGAGCTGGATGCAGGAGCCTTGGCACTCACCAGGTCCCTGGAATATTGCTGGGAGAGTGGCTAAAAAGGGGGAGTGGGATCAGTGGGGGCAAGGCAGTCCCTTTCCAGCCCCTCTCCAACTGCAGCTCTGGGCTTTCTCCTCCTCTCAAACCTTACCCTTGGAGGAGTAGGGAATGTAACTTTAAATAAAGGTTAATTAACCAAAGGAACAGGAATTAGCAATGCCTGTGGGGGAAGTCTTCTTTGAAGAGATGGTTTGCAAGTATCTTTGATCTTTTCAGGAGAGCTCAGGTTTGAGCAGCACAGTAAGAGCTTTAGAAGAAGTTCCTTTGTGGGACTCGTGGGGCTGGGAAAGGGAAGCTCTCAGCCCATGCTGAGCAGCAGCTCAGTCCCCACCTCTGCCCTGATCCCACACGAGTTCTGCTTCGTGCACAGCAAGGAAATCACTTTATGAAGAAAACTGGGCAGCTCCCAAGACCTGGATCAGCCCAGCACCAAGGCACTGCCTCTCAGCTCTTGCCACCAGTTCCTTCAAACCAAACAAGCAGGGGGCTATGACACTGCTGGGGGAAGCCAAGGAAAGAAAGGACAAGGAAGTGATTTATTTTCCATGCCTCTGGGGTGAACCACGGACACCAAGCCTAGGAAAATTCCCTTTGTCAGCTCATCCTCCTCCCTGCATGCTCAGGCCAGGAGCATCTGCATCCAGGAGGGAGAACACACCAGCCTGACTCATCCTCTCCACCAGCCCATGGCCACGACCTGCCCAGGCAGTGGGGAACTGGAACAGCCTCCTGCTGATCCCAGAGGGTGGAGAGACCACGTGGACACCAGGGGAGGGCAAATGGGATGCCAGGGAGTGGGAGGATGCAGGGAAAGAAAGGGAACATGTGAAAGGGAAAGGACAATTCAGCCAGAAAAGACCAGAGATAAGATGGTATAAAGCAATTAACTGTGCTGGCAGGTCTGGGGAGAAAGCTGGAAAAAGACAACTTTTATTTTTCTCCTAGCCACTCTCCAAGTAAGACTTTTCTTGGCTGCCTAAAGAGGTTAGTTTGGGATGACAGAATAAAAAAAGAAAACCACCAGCGCTGCACTTTCAAATGCCACTTTCCAACAAGCAGCATCTCTCCCCTCTCACAGATCAAGCCCTGCCACCTTAGATGGGACAGGTTCTGCCAAACACAGTGACAAGACACCCACCACTCTGTACAAACACCTTTGGAGTCCTTTCCTAGTACATACAAGCACTGGGGCATCATCTGGGCAGCACAGCAGAAACTGCTTTTAGTGGCCTCAGGAAACTCCTCTCCCCTTGCCTTGCTGCCAGCACTGAGCAGGAGCTGGGAACATCACATCAGCAGAGGCAAAATGGGCCAGCAACCGAAACTCTGGGGCCTGTGCCTCAGCTCTGCAGCTTTATGTACCCTTAATGGCTTCAGCCTAATCACTTCTGTGCCACAGCTAAAGGCAAAGCCATTCCCTTGTTAGAGAGAAGCACTGATAGGCAGCAAAGGCAGCAAGAAATCCCACCAGGCACTCCTGCCAGAGAAGGCAGCGCTGAGAGAACCTTCCAGGCCATAGCCCATGAATAATCTAGGAAAGGAGGGGAACAAACAGGGAATTTTTAAAATTACAGATGAATTTTTGATAGAGATATGACAGATGGGGTTAATTAAGCACACAATAACGCTGCCAGGAGAGCAGAAGAGGTTACTTCTCCTGCAGAGTTAATGATCCAGATTTAGCAGTGGCTGCAAGACACCAGCAGCTGCCAACCTTTGTCCTGGGGCAACTGGCTAATTGGTGGCTCTCCCTGGTTGATAGGGAACAGTTTTTGTGTAATACAACAATCCCCAGCCCTGCTGCAGCCCTGCCAGCCCAGGAGCCGCCATCTGCCTAAAACCAAACCCAAGAAGCACTTGGAAGGAGGATATTTGTGGATGAATCTCCCCTCAGAGCCACAGGCTCAGCTTCAGCTCTCGGCCCTCTTGATCCCTGGATAGAAGTTTTCCTCCCAGCCTGTGAACAAGTATTAAAGCAGCATTGAAAAGCTCAGCAGCATCTCTCCCAGAGAACACAGGGTTCTTCCATAATTCATCAGTGAACAACAGAACATTCACCTCCTGCTGGAGCCCCGTATCACACCTCTCCATCATTTCTCCAGATCAGTCCAGGGTACAGCATCACTGACAGGCAGGCAGGGAGCTGCCACTCTCCTATCTCTGGATGAAGAGGGAAGCGGATTCAGTCCGAGATGGTTATCGGCATAACAGGAAATTGTGACAGGCAGCTGTGCCATCCCTCCCTGCTCCTGATGGATGGTCCCTGCTCGGGTGCCACTGATAAAGCCCGAATGCTCCTCAGCTTCATCTCCAATTCTGCACAGCCTGTAGCTGACTGGGGCAGCAGCCACGAGCCGGAGCGATGGATGCTCTGCCTCCTGGAAGGCTCTGACTGATGGTGGTGGATACTCAATGCAAGGAGAAAGGAGCAACTCCAAAAGAGCTTTAGGCAGGTGACAGACCTGGACCAGAATACAAATGTGCAGCTTGCCTAGAGCAAGGTGTGTCACAGAGTCATCTGCAGGCAGGCCAGGGCAGTGTTGTGACCAGTGAGCTGGGTCCTGGCAGTGACCCACCACCCTCCCTGCTCACTGAGGATCTGTGCATCAAAGTGATCAACAGACACACACCAGCAGCTGCTGAGCGCACTGTGACTGTACTTCTCATCACAGGCTTATTTTATCCCCAACAGGACCAAAAACCTCAACACAGAGTCCCCGGTAATTCAGAAGCCCTGAGAGAGAACAGACAATCTGCTCTCCATTTCTCTCCGAGTCCCCTGCTGTATCCCAGCTGTACAGCTCGGGTTTGGGCTGGCAGTGCCTCTCACAGCCACGAACACAACAACCACTCAGCAGCACCTGGAGGGTCACAGGCAGGACGAGGAGCTGGGCTGTGTGCAGGCTGCAAACTCGCCCTGCTGTCACATACCGACACTCACTCCTCATGACTCAGTGCCCAGCCCCAAACTTTACCCTACAACCAAACATGCATCTTCCTTAGTCCTTTTGCTGTTCCTTACAGGATACAGGTACAATCCCTGTAAGTTGGGAAGAAGCAGCACAACTCCCAGGAGCACCTCTGTGAGGGCGAGCACCCACCTCCAGAACAAGCCCAGCTCTCTCCCAGGCTCCCCTCCCCTCCTACCACAGTGATTCCCCATAAATATGAATGATGGTTTCCAATGAGAACAGCTTTGCTGAGCAGCTGGGCTGCACCAGAGCAGGGCTCCAACAATCAAATGATATCAAAGTGACCATTAAAAAGGCAGCACTGCATAAAGAGCTGCTGCAGGAGCAGGGAGGAACACAAAGGCTCCACATCTGCATTTCAAGCTAAGCATTTCCCAGCCCTAGGCAGTAACTGCAGCTCCCCAGGATGCAGATGCTGTGGAAGAGGATGGAGTATTTTGAATTTCCTTGCAGATGGGAATGTGCCAGTCACACTCGACCGCAGTTACCCTGAAAGATTTCAGACAAGCTTCACTCCTGGCACAGTCACAGCACTGCAGGATGGGAGAGCTGGCACTCAAGTCACGTCCTGCTTCCAAGACCTGGCTCCTTTCCCTCCCTGCCTCCCTTATTAAAGCATATGGTTGCTGTCAAAGAAGCTGCAGTCTCTGCAGTGCTCCTTCTACAGGTAACCTCTGATCAGCTGGGGATGCTCAACCCACCCCACTGCTGATGTGACTTGCACAACTTCCCAGAGGACAGTGGCTGATTTGGTCGTGCACAGCCCCATCCTCTCAGATGTGCAAGGAGAAAACACCCATTTCTCAGGAGGGAAACACTAAGCCACACACTAAGATCAAAGCTCCAGACCACATAAAAGTCTGAACTCCAGTGATTTGGGTCCCTGTGTTGCTTCAGGCTCAGCATCTTTATCGTGACACTGGGCAGTGTGCCCTGAGCAGCCCCTCTCTCTGCTCCCTGTCCTCTCCACAAGAGCATTTCACAGCACTGGGAATTGCAACCAGCAGCTGCTTCCATCAACACACTCGACCACTGACAGTGTGTCACACCTTCCAGGACAGGTGTGGTACCAGGAGAGCAGCTGGAAGATGGATGGCAGGAACAACCACAGCCCCCCAGTCACTCCCCTGAAGGAGAGGAGGGTCACAGCCCTTGGCTACCACTGCTGTTAAAAGTGCTTTAAAGACAACCCTGACAGGAGCAGGAAACTCCAGTGCATTTAAGCTCTTTATAAAATTAAATCATGCCTTCAATTATGGCAAAAAACAATAGGAGATACATGATCTCCAGAAGTCTAATTCCATAAAATACCATCAGCAGAGCTGCTGTGACTGATGAATTCCCAAAGGGCACATACAGCAGGGATGTGAGAGCAAAGCCATTTGGCCACAGCCCTTTTACTGAACTACCTGAAAGACCTTCTGCCTTCTACCATGACACAACAGTCCTTAACAGGACCATCCCAAGCAGGTGATGGCTGAAGGAGCCAAATTTCTGGATGAGGGTTGGATGGACCAGGACCAGGACCTGGGGGATGGAGCCATTCCAAACTAATATGATCCCTGGTTCCAGGGATTGTTTTCCTCCTTAGAAATAACAGTGCTTTCAGATCTACTGCTCCAAAAGACTGCTCCCATTACCAGTTAAGAAAGACTTACGTCATCTCTACCCCACAGCTGCAGGGGAGAACACGCCTACCTCAGAATCTGAGATGGAGACCCGGTTGGACTCTATCGTTGGTCTCCTCATTATTCGTGGTGATGGTCCTGTGGCATAAGGACCACAACCTGGGCTGTTGCTAGAAGCCAAATAACCTCCTGATGATCTTTCCTGAAGGGACAGCTTCCTACTTGATAGACCAGGTCTAGTGGGAGGTCTCTTGGGAACATGCCTCAACTGGGCATCCTCTGACTGCGGGGAAGGCAGGAGTTCATTGATTCCCACATCACTGTTGACTCCATTTCTTTGGATGTCCTTTACATTATCAGAAAACACTGTGTCATTCTCTTCAGCATCATCTTCACCATTTTGGTCTCTTCTGTCTGGGACAACACACACATCTATGGCTGCGACCCGCTCTGCCAGTTCAGCCGGGGTGTCCGTGCCTCCATCCATGGCGTTTCCTGAAGAGTCCCCCATCGCTGTGTCCAGCTGCTGTGGTCTCAGATGGCCCCGGGGAGAGCAGCAGGACTAAGTCTCACAGGCAGCATGGGGCATGGAAGAAAAGCTCCATGAAAAACCTGAAAGGAAACACAAACAGAGCTAAACTGAGGATTGATGTTCACTCAACACAGACATCACCGAAGCCATCTCTGGCTTCTTCCAGCACACAGAGAGGGAAGGCAAAACACTGGCAGGCTGTAAACGAGGTGCAAACACTCAGATCAAAAGGCACTGACCTCGACAGGGAAGTGATAAAGATGAGATTTTATCTGATGTGCAACAAGTGACACAGCTAAAGAGAACTTCTCCTTCTGCAGCCAGACCAACAGCCAACCAGAGCTCACAGCGACTGGGGATCTGCAGCTGAGGGTAAAGGACTGAACTCTTGACCTCTTGAATTCTTATTTATAGGATACAAGAGCTCCTGGCATGTACCCAAACCCAGCGGGCACAACAACAACTCCACAGCCATTTAGGGCTCCCCAGTAGTCTCTCTGTTGCCCTGTAGGGCCTTGGAGAGTGTCACAGAACTGCCTGGAAGTCAAGCCGTGCCTGGTGGCTCCCACACTGTAATTTGCAATGTGGTCAACAGCAAAGGCAGAATTTAAAAGCCAACCTGGTTCCAGGGTCGCCCCTGGCCCCCCACAGTTACAGTTTGTGTGTGCAAACACACGTTAACCTTGCTGCCCACCATGTATAAAATCTATATTGTGGTGCAAATCAACAATGCTTAATGATTCCAGCATGTGGGAATCAGCTTTTCCCTGGGAAAGGACCTACAGAACACAAAAGTACAATACAAAGCTAAAACTGCTGCATAAAAACACTGTTTCCTGGATGCTAATTTCAGTCTCAATTTAGAACAGATTTCAGTCTCCCCGGCACAGTCCAGAGCAGGAAATGATCCTCTGCAGCACATGGCTCTCAACCCTTAATCACCTCTGAAGATGCAGCACTGCATCATCTCAGCCCTCTGCCCAGTTGCTGGGGACACTGGGGGAGAACTTAGCCTTACTCACAGCATCCTGGCCTGCATCCAGAGAATTCCAGAGTAGGCTCAACCCTGAAATATTGCAACCTTTGGTCCTCTGTATGCAAAGCAGGTCAGGCATAAAACCCCTGCAAGCTGGGTGGCACTTGCATCTACATTTCATTTACGTGAGGAAAGGGTGGGGGTGAGTCCAAAAAGCCCCATCCAGCATCAGCCTGGGAACACACACAACACTCTTGTCAAGGAGCACAGGTTAAGCCAGGCCCAAATCTGCCCAGCAATGCTCAGCTAAACACACTGCAGTGAACTCTGTCCCCCACAGCAAAGCTCAAGCAACCTTTAATATCAAGAAAGAAACCAGATTAAGATCCGGATGGGAGGCTTCCCTCTAGGTGATGTGCCAGTCACAGGGATGCACCCTGGGCACTGGGTGTCACAGAAAGGAAATATCCAAATCTGAGATGTTCCTCCCTGAGATGTTCCCGCTGCTCATCCCCTTTTCCCTCTCTCCCGTGTCTTTTCTGCAGGCTTGCTCGAGCCACGCTGACAGAAGTGTCACTCACTCAAAACGTGGAATGGTGAAATCAGCTTTTAAAGCTTATATTCAAACTATATTTAAAGCTCCAAACCCAAAGCACAAATCCTTTTGGAGCCACGGTGCAGGCACTGGGGGTGGCTCCCAGCAGCAAAGGGAAGGGGTGTGGGGTTTGGTCCAGCACACACTGCAGGTGGACCCACAAACACAGAGGCAAAGCAGCATGAGCTCCCCCTCTGCCAGACCTCCCTGCTCCCCCAAGCCCCCACACCCCAGCTGCAAGTTGATTTTAAAGGATGGGAGGGTAAAAAGGCTTCCACCATTTAATCCAGCTTGCACAAGGGATAGGAGGAAACCTTTAATTCCACCCCAAGTTAAAAGCCTAGCTTTGCTCTTCTGCCTGCAGAGGAATAAATCCAGGGCCTTTCCTTGCAGCAGCTTTAGCTTCTGGACACTCACAGCTCTCCTCACTTACAGGAGGAAAATCAACCTGCAGCTGCTCCCCCCCCTTCTTCCCTCCTCCTGCCACCAGGTTTTTCCTGTATGTTGGAGCGAAGGGATGGAAGAATCTACCCATATTGCTGTGTGGCTGGACAAGCAAGCCCACAAATCACCCACCTGGACTGAACACCTGGGCATCTCATGCTGCTCAGCCAACAGGAAAGAAAGGCCAAAAGCACTGGGAAGAGCAGCCAGGTCCCAGCAAACAGCGATGACCCTGTCAGCCACCTGCACAGCTCCTCATCACCCAAGCCAGGCACCCCAGGGTGTCACCCCCCTCAAAAGCTGAAGCACAGCTCTAATTCACAGCACAGGCTGCAAAATAAATCTGCAGCTAATTGACAACTTAAATAGATAAACTGAAGATAAACCCCATAAATCAGTTTATCCGATCAAAACAAACAGACCCGCACGGCGTCACAAAAATGATGCAGCGCTGCTGAAAGTAGGCTAAAAAATCCAGCAGACCTTAAGAGGAAACAATTGTTCACATGTAGAACTGGGCTTTGTTTCAGGTTCTGCTGTTTTGAAGGATTCCTCTTCACTGATAAATCCTCCAAAACCATATTGGAAAGCAAAGACCTGCGAATAAGCAAATCAGTCACACGCACAGACCAGTCTCACTGTGCACCAGCTCGGTACAAAAGGCAATCACCAACTTCTGTGAGGCAAAACCAGTGGTGGATTTGCAGCTTGTCAGGCTGGGACACAACCACAGCTTGCTGGGATGGGAAACCCCAACGAAACAAACTCCACAACCACCTTCTCCCAGCTCCTGCACAGCTTTGGGCCCGACGTTCCCCTCGCTGATCCCCCACCACGCTGAACACCTCCTGTAGATCAGAGGATTATGCTGCAGACACGAACCAAAGCTGCAAACAAGCTTATATGAGCAAAATTAATTTACTTACAGATATCTTATTTACCATTTTTCCCCGTAGCTATTCCTCTGCTGCAGGCAGATTGCCACTTCAACCGTGTTTTTCACGATATATTTATCAAATGGCTGCACATGTTGCCCAGAAAGGCACTGAGCAGAGCTTGGTACAAAAAATCCTTTTGAAAGGAATATGATCCTGGAGAAAATCTCTCTGTATTGTACGTGGGAGTGGGAGATGAGCGAATGCAATTAGTTTTGCTGCTCGATAAAGTATTTCAGAGCATTGTTTGAAAAATAAAAAATTGTAAATCTAGTTTACTGCCTGGTGCATCCTTCTGGCTATTTAGAAATGCTCCTATGAGAAAGGATAGGGAGGTTAAAAGGCCTTGGGTCTCAGCAAATCCGGCTTCATTTCCTGATTTTGCTACAGGCTACGCAGAAAAGTGACTTTACAGCTTCACCTGTCGTGGTTCCCGGGTTCAGAAAAGGATGCTGCCCACAGCCCACCTCATCCTGCTTCCCCTCTGTGTCCCTGAGAACATATCTGCCCTGTTCTGAGGCACCAAGGGCCACTGCAGTAAAACAATCACAGTGAATCATAACTCTTAATTTGCACAGAAAGCGTCCAGGCAGCAATTCTGCTGCTGCTCAGGGTCAGAGACTCCAAATGCTCGTGGTTGGCATCCTCTGGGCCAGCCTGGGGACTGGCAGGGGTGTCACACTGCAACCCTGCCTGCAGGCACATCCACTAGGTGCCTCTTCACCACACAAGACCCTTGTCACAAGAGAGAGGTCCCAAAGATCCCAGCAGGATTTAGTCTGTGCTTTACTGCACACTGCCAAGGGCAGCAATCAGGCCGAGTCTTCTGAGCAGTGCAGTGATCCATGCACCAGGACAGGCTGCCTGCAGAGGGGGTGTCACCTCCATCACCAGCATCCATCAGCTCAGGTGAGATCCCCCCCACCAGGAACTCCCTCCTGCCTGGGGCAGGGCTGGCAGCACATCCAGCCTGTCCTGTGTCACCGGTGCCTGCGAGTGTTCCCTTCAGATGTTGCCCCCAGCAGCAGAGCCACGGTGAAGAATCTGCTCTGACTGCTGTCAACTGGCAGCACAAACTCCCTTTAAGGAGAGAAGCAGCACGTCCTGGGCTGGGCTGCCAAGTCCTGGACAGCTCCTCGAATGACATTTTAGAAATATTAGGTCAGCAAGTCCCTTCCAGAGCCCGAGCTGTCTCCCCACAGCGAGCACTACAGCCTAGGACTATTTCCATCCTGGAGTCTCTCCTGTGCTCCCTGTTCTGCAGGACCTCCCCAAGAACTCAGTGCTACTCTGCTACCCCAATGAGGGAAGTAATTCCACACACCCCATCCTGGCCCCATCACCGTTTATACAAAGTCCAGCCAGCTCACTCCAACACCTTTGGTCTGGAGAAGCTTAAGGGAGATTTGGTCCCACAGCCATGCTCTGGAGCAACATCTGAGCTGCCACCAACCCCACAAGGGGTTTGCAACACATGGATCTTCAGATAGAAGGTGCCAAGTCCTTATGGGTCTCATTGCTGTGGTGGGAGAGCAGCCAGAGGGTTTATTTTTCCTGCAGCAATTCAATTCAGAGCACGTTAACGTGGTTAAACACTGAGAATGGGTTGCCCAGGGAGGTTGTTTTGGATACCCCAACCCTGGCAGTGCTCACAGCCAGGCTGGATAAGGCTTGGAGCAACCTGGTCTACTGGGAGGTGTCCCTGCCCATGCTGATGGGACTGGCTGATCTTTAAGGTCCATTCCAACCCCTTAACATTCCATGATTCTATGACTATGCTGGCCATCATTCCAGCTCTGCCAGCCCCTGGCACACCGAGCAGGGCACCTGAGGATGAGATTGCCTCGTGCCCATCTCCTCTCCCACTGCTGCTGTGAGGAGAAGCACAGGAGCTTCCTGGCATGTGTGAAAACCACTTTCAGACATCACTGACTGAAAGGCAGCCCAAACCCAGAGGCAAAGGATGACAAGAAGGTGCAGCTCTGTGAAGCTGAAAAGAAGCAAATCCCTGCAGCCTTTGCAGGGATAATCCAGGCAGGTGTACACCAGGCTGGCCACGTGGGATGTGTTCTCCCTGGGTAGTAATCACTTTTGGTACTACTTCCTGACTAAAAGCAGAAGCCATTAACACGATCCAAATAATAAATAAGAGTATACTGTCGGTGCTTTTTGCACACACCTCACACATTTGCTTTGTCCTGCAGCTCACAAGGCTCTTGTTTCAGAGCACAGACAAACATGTCTAGCTGAGAAATCTCTCAATCCTGCTGTAATCATCCCAGTCCCTTTCCCTCTTCTCCCCACAGCTCTTGGCAGTGAGCCTGGCTGTTGTGCCACAGCTGAAAATTAGATCTAAAAGCTTCTGTGAAGCTCCTTGCACAGCTTTAACAGTAACCACTGAACAACAAAGAGCAGCAGTTTTTGCAATTCAAGCACTGTGTGAGAAATCTGAAAAGCAGGTTCAGACCCCTGCTTCTGCCAAATTTTTCTCCACACCACAGTCTGGAAAATGCATCATTCTACCTCCTCCTCCTTAGTCCTTCCCAGGACAGGGTGCTTTCCAAAGGGATTTTAGGGCCAGTTCAGCCCCAGAGATACAGACAAAGAGCACCCCACGGCACAGCCCTCTGTGCTTCTCCTGGTCTCCCTCTCGTTCCCATGACAGACCCCATCTGAAGGCAGAATCTGGGGCTTGGATCTGATGAAAGACTGATGCTTCCATGCCCCTGGGTGTAAGGTGTAGATGCAGACGTGAGACAGAGGGGCTGAACTCAGCTGCCAGCTTCTGGTATTCTCATTTTAAGAATATAAGTTACACTCCTTCCCACCACAAAGGCCATGTAACCAGTTTTAAGAGCAATCAACAGCATATTTTAAACACGTTTTGAAACTAGTCAGCATGCTGAACCAAAATCTCCATTCTACCAGCCTACAGCACGAGAAATAACAACCACCTCGTGCACAGTCCCGAGCTCAGAAAGTTTCACAAAAGATTTCCCAACTGCATTATATTTCACCCCTCCATGTTCTAATTATACGGTTAAATACATTTGCATAATCAGATGCAATTACACTAATTGCATATATAAGCAATAATCAACCAAAAATTACTCTGAAGAAAAAAGTTTCTACTTAAGGAAATTCCTGCAACAAGAAAACACTGAGGAGTGCCAAGTCTGTCTAAGTGAGAGCAATATTAACAATAAAGGCTCCAGATAACACTGGTGAAACAGGAGCCCTGAGAGAGCATTATCTGCCTGGGTAAAGCTCTGCTGGCACATTTTAACCATGTCTTCAGTGGAGACAACACCAAAGAATTGAGGAGGAGTTGTGCTCCTTTGTACTCAAGCCCTGGCTACAAACAACTTTGGTAGCTCAGATTTGGCTGCTATGTTTTATAGTAGAGGTTCAGCAAGATTTGTGGGCATCAGACCCCGATACTGGACTATATTTGCTTCTGCTTTAATCTTTTAAAGCTGTTTATCACTCTATGAGCATCAGAGGTGGTTTTATTTGGCAAATTACAGCCGGGAAAGCACAGGGAATGGTCAATGGGAGGCACTCAGCCCACACATCCCGCAGGTTTTGCTCGCAGCGATGCGGAGTGCTGTGACTCACCCACCACTGCAACAGCCCAGAAGTGACCACAAACCAGCAGATCCCAACACCCAACTCCACATGGACTCTGCAGACAACCTGAGCTCGGATTATAACAAATCCCCTTCGCCCTTGTGGCAAGGGACACAAAAGCCTTGCAGGGGAAGGCCCCTTGGCCACTGTGCCTGCCTGGTGTCAGCTCCTGACACCGCAGCAGTGAGGGCTGGGAGGGTGGAGGAGGTTGGTGTGGGCAGAGAGCACCGAGCCTGGTCTTACTGGATGGTTTGGTTACCTCCAAGAGACCCTTGGGGAAGCAATATGAGGGAATTGGGCATGTTAATACATGTTAATATGCACACACAGCCTGGACAACACCCGAACCACTACTCGGTGTGGTGTCAGAGGAGAGCAGAAACTCAGGAGACGCTGTTTCCAAAGCTGCTCTCAGACCTCAGAGCCTGCCTACCCCAACCTCCTCTTCAGCACCCACCAAGGAAACACCCCAAATGCAACTTGCACAGCGCACAAGGAAAGCTAAGCCCCATAAATCCCATGGAAAAGCAGCCTTCTGGCTACCACCTGTAAGGGTACAGGGTGCTACAGCCCAAGGCTGCACAGGTGGGCACAGACAACCCCAGCTCACAGAGAGGTCCTGTGTAGGGTCAGTGCAGAACCTCTGCATGAAGGGAGCAGAATCCTGGGGCTGAAGCTGAGCAGGGAAGAGGAGGAGGAGGAGGAAGTGTCATAGTTGCTGTCACTTGCTGAGCTGAGAGGCAGCGTGCTTCCCAGGAGAGGGGGCAGCAGTGGCAGGGAGCACAGCTTGCTGGAGGTGGATTTAAACAGCCAGTGAGGGGGTGCTTAAAAAAAAAAAAATTAACTGAGAATGTCAGATTACATCAAAGTTGAAAGGATTAGATTATTTGTAAAAATATTAACAAGCAAGGCAGTGGCCAGACCCTGTCGATTAATGAGAAAAACAGCTAACTCAGAATGAGGGAGGCTTTAACATTTAGGGTCTTCATTGCAAAAAAATGGCTTTCCAAATATTTGTACCATGCCAAGGTAAATGGCAGGTTAAAGGAAGAAGAAAAGGTTTTCAGTTGTGCTAAGGGAAAGAGATTCATCTCAGCTGAGCCATCTTCTGCTGCAAGCTATAATGATACCTCAAAATTGCCACAGAAGATGATACAGACATGAAGAAAACAAAAATGAAGAAACCAAGAGGACCTGAACAGCCTATCAGTCTGCAAGGGTGAAGCCTAATATTCCACAATGGCCAAATCCCCTCTGATCTCACAGGAATGGAATTGGGCACTCAAATCAAAGCTGTCTCTAAGCCACTGCAGTTGTCACACTGCCTCTGGGGGATTCCTCCCATCCAAACAGGGCACTAGCAAGAAGATTATGGAAAGCATTTCTGTGGCAGGGAGAGAAAGCAAAGGGAATAAATATAAGAGAAACAGAACCAAACCCAGAGTGTACAGATCTGTGTGCATGAGCCCATGGACAGATT